AACAATTGAAGCACCAATCTGATCCTCTGCTAAGGTGCCATCTTATGTTCCTCCAAAGGAGATTTTTAAGATTCCTCTGAAGGAGTCTCGTCCCATTACTCAGATATAGGCAGATTCTCCCACAGATCTTAAAGGTCTGGGCTGAGGCTGGTATCACTGCTGGAAAGGAAGGTTGGCTTGGTACTGGGTGAGGCGGTATCTGCAACAGAATCAGAGTCAGTATCAAGATCAGTGAAGGAGTTAGTCTCACAGCCTCCAGCAAGGGTTTCATGGAGTCCTGTATGTGGTGCTACCTCAGAAGCTTGAGAGGGCCCCGCATGATATCCTCCCCTGATGTCTGGATCTGAAGGGACGAAAGGTGACGGGGGTCTTGAGGTCGAGTTGGGGAACCCTCCAGGTTCATCTCCTAAGGGGTTGAAGGTAGTTCCAGATTGAGACTGGAGAAGTCAGTACAAGCACAGAATCAAGTAGCATAGAAGCATATGCTTGGAGTGGTTAGTAGCCTCATTTGTGCCCTTCACCTCCACACAGAGGCCAACACGGAGAAAAATGAAGGCATTGCTGAGATCTTAAATAATGAGGAGCCCATGTCAGCACAGAGCTGTCTCCCTCTGTAAGAGTATAGAAGAGACCACAGTGGTGCCATTGGCTAGTAGCTGGGGCCCTCATTGAACTAGGAGTATTAAGGAACAGAAAGATGGTGCTTCCACTTTCCTTTTGCTTACATCCCTCCTGTGATGACACATTTCCTTTTTCCATTATCCTATGTGAAAGTAAAATGAATTATATTAAAGAAATAGAATGAATTAAAGAATGCTGTATGTACCTTTAAGTAGAAATGCTGCAAGCCAGGGGGCAGGAAAGCAGACATTAACTGCTTAATGAATTGCCCCACTTAAGGGCAATCGGTGAAGCATCAGCCTTAGATGGATAAGAGTTAATAAGGAAGCAGGATATGCATATTGTGCCCTTGCAAATTTTACAGTTTTGCTCTCTCTGTCCCTTTGTTTAGTTCGCACCCTTTTATCTGTATAAATAAGACTGTTTGAATCTTGCATGGGGGCTCACATTATCTGAATGTATTAGCAGAGCGCTGTGCAATAAAACAGAGTGGTCTGACAAACTATGAGTCCTGAGTCTAACGTTGACACCTATCTGTTACCTGTGTGGACTTGTAGAACTGAGACGGAGGCACTGGCATCAGAGAATAGATGCTGAGTTGGTGGCTGAGGTAAATATGTCAAATGAGGAGTAGAGACAGAGCTGGGTGTTTCCGTGTTGTTAAGGCTATTGAGGGCTGAATAGGCAGTTGCCAGTTTGGTCTTTGGTGCTGCTTTTGATTTAGCCAGCACCAGTGGCATGAGGTAAGAGATTCTGTCCCAGCATAAGGCCAAGGAAAGTCCAGTCTTGGGCCCATGAGAAAAAGTGGAGCTGAGACTGGAACAGAAAAATATCTTCGGTCCCATGACAAAGAATCTCGGAATTTAGGCTAGTCTCAGTACACTCAATGAGTGCATCAGACTGTATGTGTGAAGAAGACAGATGAGCTTGGATCCTCAAACATCTCTCCCTTCTAGTGCAGGGAATGAAGTCATGGCAAACTGCACACTTGGGTTACCAAGCACATCTGCTGCCAAAATAGAAGGCACTGGATATGGGCATCAGTCTCCAATATGATCTAGCAGCAGGTGGCGCATCTCTTTAGGCTCTTAAGGAACTCACAGGGATTTTGCTGAGCCCCTGAGGGGCCGAAGGTTCCTGAGACAAAGGCAGACCATGTATGATAAGCTACCCTATACCACTCTACACAAACCACCTATAAGAAAGAAAAAAAAAAGACTACAATTAGGGAAGATCTAGCCTGAGGACATGAAGGCAGCAAAGGAAATAAGGTGACAGGGAGGTGTGCACTCCCTTACATAGAGCAGGACAATGTCATATGAAATCTCTCACGCACGCTTCCCTCTGCAACCCTAAAAAAAAAAGGTCATAAAATCCCTGTACCCCATCTCTGTTAACTGCATCAATCCCATAATCCCCCTGCATGTTGTTAAAGGAGTTCTTTCACCAAAAAGCTCTACTGCACAGAATGGGGGGCGAGGGGGGAAAAGACAGCTGACCATCCCAGTGCAGGGTCCCCCACCCCTATTCACCAAAGACAGAATGGCACTTTATGAATTGCAATTAGGGCTCTAAAAATTTGTGAGAAGGTTGAGGGATGGAGACAATATTTTCCCCAAACATAGTGTCCCTTTGTAACCAAGGTTTCAGCTGACAAATCAGAACTAAAGCACAAGCCCATTCCAATTTTGGATCTAATGTGGAGTGGTGAATTTAGTCGCAGGGATTAGAATGCTAATTCCTCCCCCACAAAACACTCCGAGGTGCAGATTTCAAGACACATGGTTGGTCCATTTCTAGAATAAGTTCTGATAGTAAGAATTGATGTGAACACCCGTACCAGAGTAAATCAGATCTCTGGCTGGTAAAATTTCTGACTTCATAGGCTCTTTTGAAGGGGGAGCTCATTTGGCAGTAAATGAAAGGAATTTCAGTATCTGTATTAAAAAAATGGTGTTCTTCCTTTCTGTCACTATCTTCATGCATATTTTCGATGTGAGTGACGTGTATTCTTTGGCACTTGCCTGCTGGAGTCTCAAAGAATGTAACAGGTCATAGGCCTAGCTACAAACAGAGCCAGTGATTTTATACTGTCCTGGGTACCATGAGGGTAAATTGTACAGAAGATCATTAGCAGTTTAAGAATAAAAATAGAGTGCCTCTTTTGTAGTCAGAGCAACAGAAAACTTTCAAACCTTCCTATTGGTCCCCTATTACCAGCTGACCTTTTCAGCAGTCTCCTACAATGCTTCAGTGCAGACCAAAATTTATTGCTGGTGCAAACCATTGAAACCAATAGGTTTCTATAAGGATGAATTAGATCCTGTGTATCTAAAACCAAACACAGTAAAGTTTCACTGAAGTGAAATTGCAGAGGTAGCATTTATGGATAACAGCTGGAGAACATTAACTCTGTCTCTTTCTCTTTCTCCCTGGGGTTTAAAAATGTTGCTGTTCAGACAGGAAGCAGTCATATACCACACTGCATACTACAAGATTTATAGGATACAAGAACAAGTTGCAAAGCATTAGAAATAATGCAGTGGGGGAGGGGTTGATGAAGAACCTATCACAGCAGAATAATTTTAATTGCCTCATATTTTAAGCCTCACTGATGTAGTTTACATAGAACAGAAACTGGTCCAATGCCTGAACATGAAAACTGGAAAGGATTTAGCCATTTAAAAATGGCTAGATATCACTCTCCATTATTTACCCTTCTGCTCATCTAGGGCCTGATCCAGGGAAGTGCTAAAGTGCACTTAACTCCCACTGAGATCAATGGGCATTAAGATGCTCAGCACCTACCTGAAGGTGCTCACAGTACATTGTTAAAACTAGGACTGAGATCATGTAAATCAGAGCTTCTCAAACTGGGTGTTGTGACCCCTGAGGGGGTCACGAAGTCAGCCTCCACCCACAAACCCCACTTCTCCTCCAACATTTATAATAGAGTTAAATATAAAAATGTGTTTTTAATGTATGGGAGGGGGGGTCGCACTCAGAAGCTTGCTGTATGAAAGGGGTCACCAATGCAAAAGTTTGAGAACCACTGATGTAAACAAAGAGGTAGTACAGTAATTGGAAAGGCTAACCAGGTGTTTGATTTCACTCAGCAGCAGGCAGACAGAATGACCCTTGGAATAAGTTACTGACATGACTAAAAATACAGACTCTACTGGTGGTTTCAGGCTGATAAAGCAATAAAGGGAGCATGAGGTACAGCAACAAAAGCCAAGTAACAAGCACACTCAATTACTTCAGCTATCGATGTGTATATGTTTCATCAGTAACTAGTAACTCAGACCCTACCTTGCCGCTCCCTGTGCAGAAAATGCCATTATTTTAAAATGCAGTCTTTATAATGGCAGACTTATGTCAAAGTTAATACCCCTGCAAATAGGCTATTGCAGTAGAATTTATTCAGTTAATTTATTGCAGTTGTGCTCACTCTTTAAAGGGGGAAGCCAATCTCTTTTACTACTACACAAAATAAAAATAAAAAGAAGTGCTTTAGTCTTTTACCCTCTCTGGCAGCTTCTTTCAGAAGCTTTCCATTTGCCAAAAGTCTTGGAAATATAAATGTTCCCTGCCAATAACTTTGATGACACGAAGATAACAGACCAATTATAATTCCTTAGCCAACACAGCTGACACAGTCTGCAGAGAGAACAGACACGTACAAGGAGCTGTCAGGGAGAGAGACGGGTCAGTTGACACACCAGGAAAACTTTGCTGTAGACACTTCAAAGCTATCTAGCAGCAGTTCTGTGAGGCAGAGCCACCCAGGTGGGAAAGGGTTACTGCATGTAAAGCGCATACAGGCAGCACTCATGAGCGATGGGAGCTATGTAAAAGTAACCAGATTTGCGGAGTGACCAATTGGTGTCGATACAGGAGTGGGCATAAAATATAGCTGAGGCTGAAAAGGAAGCGCAGTGAGGCTGGAGAGGAGCGGTGTATTTTAGATCTGGGGTTTCTAGCTCCCATCTAAGGTCCGGCTGCTTTACACGAATGTATATGAAATATTTGTTTGAACATCCCTGATATTGCCTATGCCACCCATCTGGTGGCCGGAAAGCTTCCCCCTTCCTTCACAACTGCAAGCAAGGAGATGCCCGAATAAAACAAGCTTCAAAAGTTGGGATACAAAGGGAAGCGAGCCAAACCCATCCCGCAACTGGCCAGCCCCCTCCCCCACTCTCCCTACTGCCTGGGAAGGGAACTTTTCCCACTCCCGGGCTGGGGGACACACAAAGCCAACTCCGCCGCAGCCGGCTGAACGTCCCCGCCCGTCCGCCCCAGCCCGAGGAGGGAAGGCGAGGGGAGCGGGGTCCCGCCCAAGGCGCCCGGCGAGTAGCTGGGCTGGGCTCACTCACCCTCACTGCCGTACTGTTTGCCATTGTTCGCGCCCATCCTGCAGGCTTCATGCTCTCCCGCTGCCAGCATACACCATGGCTCCCCGGCACAGAAAGGAGGCGATCGGGGCGGGGACCCCGCTGGTGCGGAGGTTCGGCTTTTACATGCTATAGGCACTCGGGTCCTTCATGGAGAACCAGCCCCGCCCTAAGCAGCCACCCCAAAAGGGGGGGGGAGAGAAAGTCCCCAGTGCACTCGCCCCCTCAGGCCCCCGCTGCGGGCACCACGGCTGGGCAGCAGCTCCAGTTATAATCCACACACGGGGCAGCAGCAATCCCAGGACGCAGCCTCCACCTCCGCCCCCCGGCAGGGACTGATGCGCCTTCCGCAGCTCGCTGGGGAGGAGCCGCTGCTCCTCGGGTCCCGCCGGCACTGCCGGGCTCCCCCTCCCCGCCCGCGCAGCAGCCACTTGTTGCTCGGCCCCGCGCCCGCTCGCAGCCCCGCTCCGCCCGCTCCAGCGCCGCAGACTTTTGTTAGCGCCAGGCGCCTCCTCCCCGCATCAATCGCTCCTCGGGCCGAGAGGGCCGGGCAGGGGAGGGCCAGGCTGGGGGGCTGCAGCCTTTTAAAGATATAGCGCGCGCTCCCCGCACGCCCCTGTGAATTGGCCTGCGGAGGCTGAGCGGAGAGGCGAGTATTTAAGCAGTTTGTAAGGTTTCTCCGTCGTGCGAGGCAGGCTGGTGCTCTGTGCCTGTGTCAAGGAGGACACAGATTTCTTATGAAGTGCCACTGATTCTAACCCCACCCCCCCGGCTGATGCATTTGGGGGAATCGGTTGCCTCTTCTTCACCTATCTGCTCCCTGCCAGGGCATGTGTTTTCCCCGGCTTTGCACTATAATTAGAGACCGTATGATGAGCTGCTCTCTTTTCTGCCACAAGGGTGTGGGCTCACCAGGAGTTTCACAAATTGGGTTTGATCTTCATGTGAGTGGCATTGAAGCTCTGGCTGTAGATCAGGGGTCACTAGGATCGGTGTTTATTTTATCTTTCTCATGACCATTTTTCAAAATTGAAGTCACAGAAAAGTTTACCGATATTAAAGACATTACTCCTGAGGGAATTCTGCACCAAAAAAAATTAAAAAGTCTGTACACAATGCTTTAAAAATTCTGCATATTTTATTTGTCAAAACAACAATATAATTACGTTGGTAATTTATTTCAAAATACCCGTCAGCAAGTATATCTAACAATATGGACAACAAAAAAGAATCAGGAAGTGTTTATTGGAGAATAGATTCCTGACTAGGCATATTAATATAGAACTTTGAGTAATAATTCATTTAAACTGCAATACAGAAACACATTTCCTGCACTCCTCAGAAGCAGTACAAAGGCTTGGACAAGTCACGGTAACGGAGGAGCTGAGGGAGAGGGAAGTAATTGCTGGGAAGGAGCCTGGGAGTGAACCTGGATGGTTGTTGGGAGTGGATGGGAGAAGTATGGAATGGGGTTTTGGGGGGGGTGTTGGGGGGAGAGAAAGGGGGGAGAGGGATTGTTAGGGAGTTGAGGAGCCTCCCCCATGTAGACCCTGGCTGACCCTTAGCCTTGCTCGTCCAGTCAAGCACATCTTTCCCTGTCCCCATGTGTCCCTGCACCACCATTCAGCCACCCCTCCCCTATCCAGCCCTGCACCCCCACTCAGTCACTCCCCGCCCATGTCCCTGCACCCTCACTCAGCCACCCCTCCTCCCCCATATGGCCCTGCACCCCCACTCCCATTCAGCCCGCACTTAGGGTTGCCAGGCATCTGAAACACTCAGTCAAAAAGGGACCCTGATAACTCCGGTCAGCACCACTGAGTGGGCCGCTAAAAGTCCAGTAAGTGGCACAGCAGGGCTAAGGCAGGCTCCCTGCCTGCTGTGGCTCCTGGAAGCAGCCAGCATGTCCGGTTCCTAGGTGCAGGGGTTGCCATGGGGGCTCTACGTGCTACCCCCACCCTGAGCTGCAGGGGCAGCACCTGCAGGCAGTGCACAGAGCCCCTGGCTGCACCTCTGCCTAGGAGCCAGACATGTTGGCCACTTCCTGGGAGCTGCCTGAGGCAAGCGCTGGCCAGCTGGAGCCCACACCCCAAACCCCCTCCTGCACCCTAACTCCCTGCCCCAGCCTTGAGCCCTCTCCCACACCCAAACCCCCTCCCAGACCCTGCACCCCTCACCCCTTCCCACACCACAATACCTTTCCCCAGCCCTGAGCCCTTCCTGCAACCCAAACCTTTCATCCCCGGACCCACACCAGAACCCGCACCTCCAGATGGAGCCCATATCCCCGCCTGCATCCCACTCCCCTGCCCCAGCCCTGAGCCCCCTCTGGCTCTCCAAGCCCCTCATCCCCAGCCCCACCCCAGAGCCCACACCCCCAGCTGGAGCCAGCACTCCTGCCCCAGCCCAGAGCCCCCTCTGATACCCTGAAGTCCTCATTTTTGGCCCCATCCTGAAGCCTGCACCCCAGCTGGATGAAAGTGAGGGAGGGAGGGGGGATGGACTGAGCAGGGGCGGGGCCGCAGGGCAGGGCAAGGGTGTTTGGTTTTGTGCAATTAGAAAGTTGGCAACCCTACCCTCACTCCAGTCTGTCCCCCCCACTAGCCCTTCTGAACCAGTCTGTGACCCCCCAGCAGCCCCATGTGCCCCAAGCTGTCTGTCCCCCTGCATATCCCATACCTCCTCACCTGGTCCCACAGGCAGGGCACTGTGAGGAACAGCCTCTTCTCTTCTGTATCTGCAGCTTGCTGCTCCTGCCTGGGAGTGGCTGCATCTCTATTCTGGTGCCACAGGAGCCTCTAGTGGTTGAAAGTTGTAACTGCAGAACCTCTCCAGCAGACTATTTTTCTGCGGAGAAAATAAATTCTGCATGGGGACATGCATCCTGCACATGTGCAGTGCACAGAATTCCTCAAGGAGTATGCCGCTTATATTATTTCAAGCTTCATTGGCCACTGGATATTGTGTCCCTTGTGACGGGTTGGATCACAGAAACCCCCTTGGGAGCTGCCACCCAATGTACAAAGACTACCCCTGCTTCTGTTTTCCCTGCCAGCTCAGGACTCCAGCACCCTGTCTTGCTGAGCCAGACACTCCCCTCTGGCTCCAGCCACAGACCCAGGGTCTGAATCACTTGTCCCAAAGCTGCAAGTTTACCTGAAAACAGCTCACAGTAGTGTGCTTGTCTTTAGCACTCAGATGCCCAACTCCCAAAGGGGTCTAAACCCAAATAAATCTGTTTTACCCTGCATAAAGCTTATGCAGGGCAAACTCATAAATTGTTCGCCCTCTATAACACTGATAGAGAGATATGCACAGTTGTTTGCTCTCCCAGGTATTAACACATACTGAGTAAATTACTAAATAAAAAGCGATTTTATTAAATACAGACAGTAGAATTTAAGTGGTTCCAAGTAGTAACAGACAGAACAAAGTAAGTCACCAAGCAAAATAAAACAAAATGT